TTATAATTGTGTGTGTGTGTATCCAATGTTCACTTTTGACCTCTCGCCTTAAAAAAGGTTCGCTCACCTGCCTCTGGCCTTTCAAAATTATGCAGTTCAGACATGGAGTGCTTTATAGGGTCACCCACACTTTTTACGGCTGAACAACTTGGATCCTCAATGGTTGGATTATTTGGAAGTGCATATAAGACATATCATGTTTATGATTAAGTAGTTCTGGTGATTAACTTAAAGATGCTAAAATTTTGAACATTTTGAAAATTTGAAAATATCCATTTCATTTCAAACATTTGATCGTGCATTTTATGATTCATAATTTTGTACAACTTGCCTTTAAAAAAACATGTCTTCCAATTCAAAATTAAAATCCCAATTTGAGACCCTTGTTGAAACTAGCAACACAGAGTACTAGCTGAAATATGAGGTATAAAAACAAAAGCTCAATTTACCCCAATATGATAGAGAAAATAAATACCTTTGGGCAACAGATGTCCAGAGATAGTATGCCTGGCTTGTTGGTTTTGTGAAGAGGATAACAGTTCAGCTGGGTATATCTATCCAATACATTCACAGGGGCTAATGTTGGTGGTATCTAGAGGAAAGGTAGAAGAAATTATTTCAAAAATGCCAAAATGTGAAATAAAACAACCAATCCAAGAGTCAAGCATCACAAAGCGACCAGGGAACCTGTCGTTTTTTCCTTTGTTGTGAAAGGGTAGCATTGCAATCTGTAAGTTCTGCAATTATTGATGGTGAAATCCCAGGGCGGCTTTTCTTGACTACAGAATCTACCTCCTGATCCTCGGCAGCTATAAGCACAAACACAAAACATAAATTAACAAGTTATGAAACAAAAAATAAAAATAAATCAAACAGTAGATTGATAACCTCGTTTTCCATTGCTGAATGCAGGAGTATCAACTGCATTTGTTGTAGCTGCTCCGATGGGTATCTGACTTTCAGTCTGAGCCAATAGTGCCCTTGCATCATCTCTTTCCTTTTTCAATCTTGCTATTACACGGCATGCAGCATCATGCTACCAAAAACATCATTGATAAATTCAGCAAGCGTCAATCACCAAAAGTTGTTACAAGCAAGCATGGGAATTGCAGGATACAGAAGCATTCTTCTAAATTTTAACTGATTGGTTACAAAAGAAAATACTCCACAGTAAATAGGTAAAACAGAAAAGATCATAAGGTGCTGAACATAAAGTAGTAGAGGCCAGAAGGTTAAAGTTTCAAACTAAACCAGAATAATAGCAAACACTCCATCTATAATTTGTCCCTACCTGATAAAGAGCATGGCTTAACTCCTGCCTTGCAGTGTGTAATTGTTGCTCCAATGCAAAGTTTGATAGCATCAGACCATCCCATTCCTATTATTATGAAGCAATTGAAATATAAAGAAATATCATTACTAGCAAACTAAACAGCCAAAGTGGCAAATTCAATTTTAGTTAAAGCACGGTGATGATAATTAAAATATCATGCAGGAGATTTTAATAAAATCGACCCTGTTTTTCTCAGATACGTTTTTACAAATCTACAAATGTTCAGGTTTAATGCATGGGAGAATTCATCCCACAAGATCACAATAGACAGTATATGATAACATAAGATAAAACTTAACAGGGGACGCACGGGGACATAACGGAGACTTATTAAAAGATATATTTGCATGCTAAAGCTTTGAAACCTATGCTTTGACAATAGCCTAAGATGAAATCCTCAGATAGACTCTGACTATACACAGATTGATAAACAAATGATCTAATTAAATACTCTAGTTTTCTCTCCTTCCCTATTAAAGTCTAATGTGCATACAGTATATTGAGCTCAGAAATTCAAGGGCTGGAAACACATACAATCTGAAACCGTCCCAACATCCCGGGAAGACTTGCAGCCTGAACAGGTCGGGGCTTCACTATCTGTAATTAAATCCAAAAGTATATTAGCCTGCCTATTTAGAGCCAGGTGCATATGTTGTGTAATGTGGATAGAGGTGCTAAATGAATACGAGGGAAGATGAAAGAAAAAACAAACTCCAAATTAAGCATTGTTAAGAGCTAAACAAACAAACTCCGTGTTAACACCAAGCATACCTTTCCAGTTTTAATTGGTACAATGTCATCCATTGTCAAAGGTTCTCCTGTTATTGGACATTTGCCAAAGTCCTGTACGATGAAAGATGGAATGGCTGAGTTGGTAAGCAAAGTAAAAGGCATATTTGAGCACGTATAAATGAGAACAAAAACAAACCCAGTAAAATCCCACTAAAAGTAAAGTGCAGAGTGGGGGTGCTATTTCCAAGAAACCCCCGGCCCAAACACAGACACACAGCTAAAGTAAACACAATAGCCTGAACAAAGTAAGAGCATAGAGACAAGAAGCACACAAACTTACACTAGCCACTGGCTACTAGACCCAAAGCACATAAAGCACGCAACCACAAGCTACATACTATGGTAAAAATGCACCCGCATAAACTAATAAGGAACAAAGTTCTACCCAATTGTTCTAATCCTAGATCTCCATACAAACTAATGTACAAATGAGAACAAATAATGAAATAACCACAATAACCTGCCTAGTGAAGACCCATAAGTGGGTTTGGGGTGTGTGTGCACAACTGCACACCCTTCCCCTACCCATAACTCTATAAAAGGTAGTGAGGTTGTTTTCAAAAGACCCTGGCTCACAAGGAGAATAACTAAGGAAGCAGCTAAAGCCTAAAGATAATCTTATGCAGAACCTTGCTACAATTGATACAAGAGAGAGACAGAGAGGACCAAGTAATTCTCTCTTCTTTGAAATTTTCAAGCTTTCCCTAGTTCTTTTAATACATAGCATTTTACGATTTCTTTTCAAATAGCATTGACAGACTCAAACATCCTGTAGCTTCAAACAATTTTTTCACCTGTAATTTCTACATACAGGTGAATGTAGACCATCAGATTACTAGAAAAGTGAAAATTCCTCAATGAAATACATGGTTTTGAGAAAATGAACAAACCGAGATATGGCGTTCGATCAAACGCTTCTCGAACAGAAGTCCAGATTTCTTTAAAATTACAGGCTCCACCGGAACCTCTCCAGAAACTGTGAAAAAAACGATCACATATAAATAGCTGAGCACATTTTGTACCACTATCCACTACAATGTATACAACACTATGAATAACTAACTATTCACTATTTGTTTCAAAAAATTCCGAGAAGGAAAAAAAAACTTACTCGAGCAGTTCATTGTAGAACGAAGAGATAGGGTTTCTGAATGTAAAAATGCTGTTGCGACCTTCGCCCTGCACGAGAGCGTGCAAAGAGCGGGAGATTCAGGCCGAGAGGTTGAAGATGGGAAAAATCGAGTTTTGAGAGGGTTTTGTGTGGATATTGAACTCTTACTGTTGACGATGGATCGAGGGCTGACCCCTATTGGCCTATTGAAGTACAACTGGTCAATAGGTCGGGTTAGGACCGGTTCATAGTGTACTAGACTCATACCAGTTTAAAAAAAATTGATCATGACCCGTGCCCATTTAGCCGACGAGTCTTGAAGTTTAATCCTATATTTAAATCCATTGGGTCTTGGTATCAGGTCGGGTATACTCATGGGGGTGGACACGGTACCGTGACCGGCAACGGTACCGCCGGTACCCGCCACGGCGCCACCGTCACCGCCGGCCGGGACGTTCCACCGGTTCCGGGAACCGGTACCGGCACCGCCCCACGGTACCGGTTCCGGTACCCATTTTTCGGTACCGGCACCGGCGGTACCGGTTCCGGTACCTTTTAAATTTTTTTTGTCCAGCGGCTCCAGCTCCACGTTACTCTCAATTGTTTAATATGAGGAGAAAATGAAGAACAAAGCAGCAGAGATTTACAGGGAAGCAGAAGAGAGAAGGGCACAGGTTGAGGCCGAGAAAGGGGAAGGAATGCTCAAGTTAGAAGAGGCTGCTTCCAATTTCCGCTCCAACGGATACATCCCCCATACCCTTTATTGTCGCCTTTGTTGTTGTTGTTGTTGCTGTCGTCCCTACTAGCTTGCTGCTGTCAAAGCAAAAAGCAAAAAAAAATTGATTTAGGGGTGGCCGGTCCGGTACCGGGACTGTCGGTCTGGGTACCGGAACCGGTAGCGGCTGGTCCGGTCACAGTACCGGTACCAAGGGGTGGCGGTACCGGAACCGACCCGGAACCGTACCGTGTCCACCCCTACTCATGTCTTCTATTTTTCTATAATTGAAAAACAATTAGTGAAAATACTATGAATGAAAAATAAATTAATTAAATACAAATAAAAGTAAGACTAATACGATAGTGCAACAAAAATCAGTCTTTTTCACCAAAAATCTATAACAAAAATTTTAGATTCATAATCGATCTTCTTGCCACATTCATTCATGTCGCAAGAATGTTCTTTATAGCATTACAACTAATTCCAAACTATTTATTTTATACTCCCTCCGTCCATTTTTAATGTTCGTACTTTCATTTTTCGTCCGTCCACAAATAAAGTTCATGTTTCCTTATTTGGTAAAAAAGTTTAAGGAGCTGTTTCTTTCAGCCTCTTAATGGTTCAGATGTCTGAATGATTCAGCACTTAATGGTTCAGACTGTTTGTTTCAGCCTTTTAATGGTTCAGATGTCTGAATGGTTAAGAGATTTGCCTCTGAATGGTTAAGTATTATACAGAGTCTGAATGATTAAAAGCTCTTAATAGTTCAGACCTCTTACTGGTTCAGCACTTAATGGTTCAGACCTCTTACTGGTTCAGCACTTACCCATTCAGAAGTTACCAAACAGCCCTAAGTTAAAAGTCATATTTGCCCTTCAACTCAAACCTTATCTCTCCACCAAACCTTCCTCAACCATCCGTCTCCTCATCATCTCGCCTCCTTTACCACCTCCATCCGTCGTCATCTCCACCAACTCCTCTTCTTCTTCATGTCAACTCACCATTTTCCTCCCTTTTTTGGATCTGTTTGAAATTTTCGCTTGTCATCTTCTTCTCTATTTTAGATCTATTTGAAAATTTTGCTCACCATCTTCTTCCCTTTTTTAGATCTATGAAATTTTCGTTTTTTCACATTTATTTGAAAATTTTGGAGATCGTAGGGGTCGGAGGTGAGGCAGCGGTCAGAGGTAGCCGCGGAGCAGCAAGGCGGCGGAGGTAGCCGCGGAGCAGCAAGGCGGCGGTTGGAAGTAAACATCCATTCCGTCAATTTGTTTTAATCGATTGTTGAACCCACAATTTGTAAAAATCTGTTTCATCCCTTTTGTTTTGCTCGGGATGCTAGTTGCTTAGTTTTACCTCGCCGGTGGATGCTTTTGGTCCGCGGCTTGTCAAAAAAAAACTACGGAGGAGAAGAGCCGAAAAAAGCTGCGGAGGAGAAGAGCCGGAAAAAAAAAGCTACGGAGGAGAAGGGGTGGAGGAGAAGGTGTGGAGGGTATTTTGGGAAAGTCAAGGACATTTACACTTTTCCTTAATCTCTGTGCCCGGTCAAACCCTGAACATTAAAAATGGACGGAGGGAGTACTACTGTATATAGCATAAACTAACGTGTACATGCCTTTAATGTACGTGGTGAAATAAATAAAAATAGGGCGAAGAAGAGATGTAGAATTTGTAATATTTAATATTATGTACGTAATATATATTTAACTGGTATGTGTTTTAAATGGGTCAGGTATTATACGTAGGGGTGAACGTGGTACGGTATGGTATGGTATTTAACTCGTACCGATACCGTGCCAAATATTTCGGTTCGGTATGAGATTTTACGTTGTACCGATCCCGAAGTATCGGTTCGATATGGTTCGGGATGGTTCGATATCGGTTTCGGTACGAATGAGATGAATATATACGTACCTAGTTTACATCATAAAATGTAACAAAACTTTATATTTATGAAAAATCGAATGTACATTTAACCAAAAAATTTAAAAATGAAAAAACAAAATGCAAGAAATGCTTATGAAAATTAGTTTATATTTCACAAACTAAAGAAAATGAGTGATAACAAAGCATTGTTGATATTCTTATACTCATCTACAAAAAATAAAAAACTCTTATTAAAATGCAACTTAAACATAATGAAAATATACTAACTTGTTTATATACATTTTTTATTTAATAAAGAAATATAAAAGATTATTATTTTATAATATATTAGTACATATGTTCGGTTTGGGAATTTCGGCATGGGAAGTAACCTCGTACCTTTCCCAAATACCGGACCGACCGATCGGTTCGGTACGGTTCGGTTTCTTTTCGGTACTTTCTCAGTTTGTTATTTTTTGGTTCGATATTCTCGATTTTTTTGGAAAATATCGGGATCGATTCGGTCATTGCTCACCCCTAATTATACGGGTTCGTGTCTATACCCGACCCATTGATAGGCCTAGATACAACCGTACAATGTACAAAGAAAATTCTTCCTCTTTATCCATCTTAGTGCATTCATATTCTAAACAAAATTAGGTATTTGAAAAATGTAAGGAAATTCATATTTCATATACCTTAAGACTAGAAAAGAATAATTCATCATGTCTAAAATCATATATCCTCCTTCCCGTAAAAAAGTTATACACTACATTTTCAGATTTTCTTTTTCGTCTCTCTTAAAAATAAGATTTAATTTTATATTTTTTGAAAATGTATTTATGATTTTTCTTTAACTCTACATCAGTTTCAATCATACAATAACTTATTGCATCAATTATGAAGGAAATATCGATGCAAATGATCCCTTTTACATCAGTTATTCCTTAATAACAGATGTAATAGCTAGCTTTTTTCCATGTCCCAAAAAAGGCAAGCTGAAATATCCCTTTAACGTCGATTTTTTTGCAACTAATGCAATTGCTCTAGATCAATTACATGCTCGCATTTGCATGACTCAAAATTGATGCAGAAGATCACTCAAAAAAATTACGCGTAGTTTTTACTCTACAAAGATGTGTGCAGTGTCGAAAACTTCAATAACCATCTCTAATGTTTGATGAAATAAAAAAATAATTTTGGTAAAATAATAAGAAGTCTATGATAGGACATTGTGTTTCTAGCATTGAGTACAAGCTTTGCACCAAAAATCATCGATGAGCCTAAAGTGCATGGTATTCATAGTAATATTGATTAATTTGAGCTCAAAATATGGAAGAATGTAAGTGATGGAAGTTTAGGTAATATGTGGATAAGAAATGTCTTTCTCCGGTCCTAAAAATCTTTTGTGCTTTGAATTTTTTAGGTCAAATGGTGATATTCTTTGACCATAATTTTTGAAAAAATATATTTAATTATAATATAAATTTAATAAATTTGGGCTCATCTTAGGATATAGTTTTGATATATCAATTTTTATATCAGTTATTTGTTAAGATTATGCTTAGTTTATAGTCAAAGAGTATCATTGATTGACAAAAGAGTCAAAACAAGAAAGATTTGCTAGGACCTAAATGGGAATTTTGAACAAGAACTGCATTACTGTACTATCAATTATCTTCTTCCAACTTTTGTACACATTTACAAAATATTTAAAAGAGGAAAGGATAGTGTTAAATGTTGTATTTTAGTTTGAACAGTACCAGAAACTCGAGTAAGAGTACAGATTAAATTATAAAAATCAATATAAAGCATACAAAAGAAAATAAATTTTGCAAGCATTGTAGTTTTGTCTAGGTTCAACAATTGCTAAATGTGTGGGAAACAGTATATCATATTACAAAGTAATATTGCAGAGTTTCATATTGCAAAAAAAAAGGACATGTGAAAACTAAACATATATAGGTGTCAGATAAATTGGTGGAATAATGTTACTTTTAAAGGATAAATATGAAATTTAGAAATACAAAAAAGAATTAATAACACGATATTGCATCTTAAACGTCACCACCAATACTTGTAATAAACCAGTGTAATTCTCAAGCTAGAAGTGAAAAAAGGTAAAATAAGTACAACATCTAAATCATATTATTGCGAGTATTTCTAAAATGAACTTGAAAATGGGCATGTTTAGTTTTTGGTATTTAGGATGGCTTTTGGCTATTTTGACTCATTTTAGCGAATTTGACTGGTCAAATCCTCAAAAAAGATGTTTGGTAGTTGGCTGCAAAGGTTGGTTGCTTGAGCCCGAAAAGCCAAAATTCTATAAGCTACGGGGAGTACCATTTCGGTTTGGCTAGTGGAAAATAGACTTTTTTATTATGTGTTATTGTATGTAATTTTTATGAATGAATAAAAAATTATTATTTATTGTGTAATTCAATAAAAAATTGGTATTCAAATAAATATATAAATATAAAATTGATAACTAAATAAAATAATAACTAAGAAAATAAATAAGTAAATAATATATATGTGTGTGTGTGTGTGTGTGTGTGTGTGTGTGTGTGTGTGTGTATATATATATATATATATATATATATATATATATATAACAAATAGTCCTTCCCCAATCCCCATGTAAATTTCATGAAGCGATCTGTGAGGAAAAAAATTCTTATTTGTTTTTGAGATTTTGGTGTAGAAGTAATCAAATTATAAATTTAAAAACTATATCAAAAAATTTTGAAACAAAATATGATAATTTGTATAATTATATTATTCTATTAATTGATTGATAAAAATACATAAATAAATAAAATCATAATGACTTTAGAATAATATATAGCTTAAATTTTTAATTATTTGAGGAAAGAAAGAATATATGGTACAAAGAATGTTATACCATATAATTATATAGGTGAAAATTTCATTAAATTAAATTTAATTTATAAAAGCTATTTTAAAGAAGCTAAGTTTGCCAAACATTTTTTTTATCAACAACCAACATAATCGATTGGTCAAAGCAACCAACTCAATCAGCCGTTCAAATCAGCCAACACGAACAACTATTAGCCAATCGCCAACAACTAAATTCCAATCGGGGCCAATATATTGTTAATTCAGTAATTAATTTTTTCTACATTTGGATACATTATTGCACCCTGTTGCGTTTAACAAAAAACATGATGGTATATGTGTCACCAATATGATTTCATAACGTAAATATGAGTCGTTGTCGTGCAACGCACGACTATGATACTAGTTCATTTGAGAAAAGAAGGGAAAAGACCGTTATTTTGATCGGAGGGAGAGAGTGGGCGGCGATAGTTTTGAAAGAAGAAGAAGTTTTTGTATTAGTTATACAAAACATAGAGCTTATTCTTTAGGACTTTGAAAAAAATTAGATGTTGGAAAAACTAGATGAAACTAGAAGAAATTGGAATGAATTGGAAGAAACTAGAAGAAATTAGAAGGAACTGGAAAAAATTGAAGGGGGTGGGGGTGCAATTGAAGGGGATGGGGGTGCGTGTGTGTTTGGGTCGGGGCGGGGTGGGGGGGTTTACCGGGGGATTAGAGGGGTAGGAACCGTCAATTTTACGAACGGGGCACCGGAGCACCCCCGGGTCATCCATGACATTGGTTGGGAACCAATGTCATGGGAACCGGCCTCATTTTTAGTGTATTTTTATATTATTCTCATTCTAATTTTTATTGTTATAAATTATTATTACTACTACTACTACTGCTGCTACTACTATTATTGTTGTTGTTGTCACTTTATCTTAATGAATGCTTTTAAGACAAAACATATTGTTATTTTTCATACACACAAACTACTTCTGCACCATAGAATGCCTCAAATGAAACAAGAGCACTAATTTTAAATTGTTATTGCAACGCACTTTGCACAATTTCATTCATCTTCATCGAAAAAGAATACCAATTTCCCAGAGACAGCGAACAACGAAAGATAGGCCCAAAGTAATATTGTTTGATAAACAAACTAAAGATGCAATGAAGCAGTTTAGAGATGAAATAACAGCTAATGTTCTACAATGACTTAAGCAGTTAAGCTTAATTGAAGATACTAAATACGAAGTATAGTTTTTACAATAATAAAAAAACATTCTATGTAACTATTTTATTCATAATTTTTTTAAATAGTTTAAATATCGATGTTTTCCTATTTTATCATGTAGATTAATATACAAAAAATGGTACTATTTGTATTAAAAAGTTGAAGAAAAAATAATAATGAGTGAATCATAAAAATAGTGAGACGAAAAAATGAAATAATTTATAAACTATAGTTATGAATATAATGCTTGTTAGCTTGTAATAATAGTAATAATAATATATTCTCTCCGTCTCACAAAAAAGTTCTCATTTTGAATAGTATTTAGTCAAATATTTACACGCTTTGACTAAAAATTGTGAGAAAGGTATATTGAATTATAAAATAAATTTAATATAATTAGATTCATCTTAGGATCTATTTTTTATATCTCAAAATTTTTTAGCATTTCTTTATTTAGATTATATTTAATTTATGGTTAAAGTGTGCAAATGTTTGACCAAAAATACATCAAAATGAGAACTTTTTTGTGAGACGGAGGGAGTATCATTTTCAAAGTGATTTGGGAATTGTCGAAAAGTAGAACAAAGTTAGAAGAAAATAAAAATAGTTGGAATAAAATTGAAGAAACTGAAAGGAACTAAAAAAACTAGTAGAAGGAATGAGAAAAAACTGGAAAGAAACTGGAAGAATTTGGAAGGAATTAGAAGAAACTGAAAGTTAAGAATTCAAACTTTAAAGAACAAGCTATACACACTTAATCCAATAATAAATATCAAAACATCTTTAATTGCCTCATAATTATAGCATCAAACATCAACAAAGGTGCGAAATAGCAACATTGTTAAGTTGTAGCGGATTGATCAAAGACAATTTTATAACAAATGACAAAAAGGGACAACATTAGCTAGCGCCCACCTTAAGCCAGTGCTCCGTAGCTCACCATTATTCCAACAACTTTGCATCAATTTTAACATTCCCTCAATCCCGGAAGTATTTGATTCCATACATTTATTTTAATTAGTTGCGTCAAGAATTACCACTACAAAATTAAACCTTTTTTCCCTCTTAAACTCCACTAAAAATTACTTCTTTCATTTCATTTCAAATCATTTGTTTGGATTTACGATATTTAAGTGATGCTATTTTTAATATAATTTATTTGAGAATTGAAAAAGAATTTAAAAAATATAAAATACTCCCTCTGTCCCAAAAAGATTGTTATGTTTTATTTTTTTGCGCATCCCTTAAAACACTTTTATATCGTCTCAAATGCCAAAAAAACTTTCAGAACAATTTCATCTTATAATAAAAAGTAAATATGGTAAATTTTAGAATTTTTAGATGTGAGTAGCAGTGCTTTTTGTGATGCGCAAAAAAATGAAATGTAACATTCCTTTTGGGACGGAGGGAGTATATATTAAAAAAATACATCAGAAGCTCTACGAAACAAGAAATGTCATGATTATATTATTTTATCAAATTAGCACTGAGGATAAGGAAACAAAAAAAAATTGACACAATAAATAATAAACAAACAACTTAATTTCAGGGTGAAGATTGAAGTAGGAATGAAAAAATAAATTTGGAGCGAAGGGAGCTGAGTATGTTTCAAGCTAGAATAAAGAGTACGGATCAGCATTTGATATTGAGGAAAAATACTTTCCAAAACAAGGCAAAAAGCAAAGAAATTCTTAGTGAAATTCACCTTGCTATTTTTGGTATAATAGTAGTAATTACGAGTTACGCAAATGCTTAATTAGTGCATGTACTTTAAGAACATGCATTAAAAAATTTAGGCAAATTAAAAAGGATATATTGATATATAATTCATTTCGGCCATATACCATACTCTCTTAATTAAATTCACGTTTTATCGTTTTCGTCCGTTCCACAATAAAACTCGCGCTCTTATCTCGATCAATTTTATTTTCAACCCAATAAAATATATGTTGCTCGATCATGAACATTTTTTTTCTTTCTACTCTACACAAATTTGAACCAAACATCTATTTTTATTAAAATTTAAATATTTAAATTTTAGAATAGTGTACAAGTAACAATCTATTTCAAATAATTGTAATACTCTGTATTTATTTTACAAATTGTGAATAATGAATAACATTTAAAATTAGGTTATTATTTTAAAATTGAGATAGTAATTAATTATATATGGCATATTTTAATTCATGGCATTAGCGAAAAAAGGAGAGGCCGAGTACGCTAATGTGGTACAAATACCATTCTCAGATAAGAATGTTATATATATATATATATATTAAAGGTGTTTAGAATATAAAAATTATTCAAATAGCTTGTTGTACAATGGACAATGGAATAAGGGTACGACGACAATAGATATTGGATTCGAGGTTGATCATTTGTCTCCTTTTATAATGGATTATTTCAATAATAATAATAATAATAATAATAATAATAATAATATACGGAGTACTTGTTAAATGAAGGAATATATTTTCATATATTTCCGTATATATTATTTTGGTAGTTTCCCGATATATATATTGATTCTCTTTCCTTTTGTATAGAGTTCCTATCTTTCATAGTATCAGAGCATCAATAATAATTGCACTTGATGTGATAGATAAAGTAAGATGTGATGCATAGATTATTAGAGAAAAAGTAGGATGTGATAGATATGTTATGAAAAAGTAAGGGTAAAAGCAGTGACGAATATAATCCAGGAATTGAACTACATGAGGGCATCATTGATTGGGGTTCCGGGGGGCAGCGTCCCCAGATTTTTTTTAAAAAAATAAGGTATATGAAATGACAAAAAAGTAATGAATTTTTTTTCTAACATGTATGAATGTAAAACATTTTTAAATAGGTAATGTAAAATTTGAATTCATAAATAATTAATTATATACTCCCTCCGTCCCATGAAACATTGGATGTTTTGCTTTTTGAAGAGATTTAAGGGAGTGTATTTTGGTATTGAATTTACAAAAATGTTCTTTGATGTGATGGGTAAAAATATGATTTGATGGGTAGATTATTAGTAAAAAGGTATGATGTGATAGATAGGGTATGAAAAAGTAAGGGGTAAAAGTGACTTTTTAATAGAAACGAGAAGTGTTTTATGGGAGGGATGAAAAAAGAAAGGAGAAAAGTTTTATTAGACGGAGGGAGTACAATAAAATATACTTTACTTAAAAAATTAACAAAAAGTTTAAATTTAGCTTAATTAGGTGGGGTCGCATTAATTTTTGTTGAGGGTAAATATACATATAATTAAAAAAATTAATTTTTTTTACATTATTACAAAAAATTAATAGGGGGCATATGCCCCCAATTCCATTAGAGTGCATCCGCCACTGAATAAAAGTAATTTTTTAATAGAAAGTAGAGTGTTTTGTTGAATGTGAAAAAAATAAAGAGAAAATGTTTTTTGAGAATGGATGGGGTACTTATTAATTGAGTACCATTTTAAAATTTACCCACAAAATTATCTAAGGTCAAAACTCAAAATATGAGCCCATATACTAGGGGGGAAATATTTGTGTAGGCGCCAAATTCCTATAACCAAGCTGGCTGCGCTGTATATGTTGGCGTATGTGCATGTGAAATGTGTGCATCCTAGCCTGTGTATTATGCCATTTTTCCCGATCCACTACCCTCTCCCATCCCATGTTTCTCGGATATATATATATATATATATATATATATATATATATATATATATATATATATATATATATATATATATATATATATATATATATATAGAGTGATTTTTGTAATGTAACTAACTAACTTAATCTCCATATATGTACACCCCCCTACCATTTTCTTTCTTTTTACCCCTTTTTTTACCTCAAAATTTTCATCATATCTTACCTCAAAAACAATTCATCATTTACTACCTCAAATATTTCATCTTTTCTTGAAGTTTCTTTTCTCTAATTAATCTATTCCATTATTATGGTAAGCGGATCTTCCTTAATAATTAGCTTCTAGTTTGTGAAATTGTTGTTTAAGAATGCGTGCATTTATTTGTCGTTAATTCAATGGTTATTATTTATTGTGTTTCTAACTTGAAGATGATTGTGTGTGATTCAATTCACATTAGGGTTATGATCAAGTTGCATGAATTTTCAGTTTTTTTTCTCCAAAAATGAAATTTAATTTATCTTTCCCCTATTCTTTTCTCATTCGAGAAAACGTAATTCTTGATTTTTTTAAAATAACTCATTAATTACATGCATGCCATCATTTTCTTAATGAGGCCAGGAGAACTTAATTTAATTTGTTCCATTAGATTTATCCATGAATTAATATTAAAATGTGACTTGTTTCCTGAAGCCATTATCAAATTTTGACTTGTTTTCTTTAGGTATTTATGTAGTTTTGATTCATTTGTTTAATCTCGTCATAATTGCATGCATGTTCGGAAATTGGTTTGGGGCTTCATAAAAAAAACGAGTTAATTACTTTAATTACTCTAGTAATTACAGGCCACAAACTAATAATAATACTACTACGTAGGATTATTGTTCCTTAATTAGTCTCTCTCTCTCATTTGTTTGCCATGCATGTAACGTATATTCCATCTTTTCATGTTTATTTTTTTTTTCATTTTGATCTTTTTAAAATTCCCATATAATTTTATTGACCACTTCTTTGTCTTTTGTGTCCTGTCTTTCCTATGTACGTGGAGAGTCGGGATGGACAACCCCCCACCCCCACCCTCACCCCACCCCACCCCCTCCTTCCAATTCATAGTTTCATAGCCAGCATCGAATAAACCATCCTTAGGAGATTCCGAACAAGACATCATAGCAATCACCTTCTCTTCATCCATATCCATTTACATATAAATATCACAATTCTATTGTGTTTTTTTTTGTTTTTGTTTGTAATAATAACATTAATTGTGACATATAGGATGAAATTGGAAGCTCTTTGAGCGCACAAATGTTGGAGTTTAGCGAGTCCGAATTGTTCCCGGAAACGCTACAGATTTCCGAGGTGGGTTCGAGTTCCAACGGCGGCGGCGGGTACGAGGAGCATTCCTCGTATTCCACCCATCTCCCCCTCACCCCTGACGTCAGCACGTTTGACCCCGGGTGTGGGGAGATGAAGAATCAAGTCGCCGCGGCTAACCAGATGTCCGTCGGAGGCGGCGAGAACAACCACTTGTCGATTATATTCGACACCGGAGACGACCTGTCGGCGTCGATCGACTTTGGCCAGGCCGGTGGAGGCGGAGACGAAATCTCCCTCCCTCCGCAGTTCCTCAACGGTCCCGCCCCCGCCGCCATTGGGCTCGAACAATTCGACATCTCCTTGTTCGAGAACCACCATGTTGCCGGCGGCGGGGGACAGCAGTACCCGCCGCCGGACAACCAGATCGCGCAGCTGATGGCGGCGGCCGCGGTTGCACCGCCGCAGATGGGGTGCGAGGAGGAATGCCTTTCTTCCGCACCTTCCTACTTGCATAATATCCCTTCTTGTTCGTTTCTTGATCCGAGTTTCGGCAATTACCTGACGGGGAACCTCAGCCACGCCGCCTTGTCCGGTGATAATTCCGGCATATGCGCCGGCGGCGGCTATTATCTCGGAGCAGACTTACCTCCCCCGCCGGAATTTCAAGGAGACAATAATAACAACAGACTTTTCTGCCCGGATAACATTCCACGTGTTTATAACTGCCACACTGACCCATTTCAGGTAATGATTAGCTAATTAATGGCTTTTTAAGATCAAATAATTATTGCTTTATATGTTTAATCAAGATTTATTTCGTACTAATCTTTAGACCCTAAAAAGTCTTCATTTCTTTTTAAAATGGTTGTTTAAAATGATTCTTTTTGTCCGGGCTCTAAGGCTTTGTTTGGAGAAGAGGGGAAAATTAAATGGAAACAAAGAAAATGAGAAAAAAGTAAGTGAAGAGATTGCAAGAAAATGGAAAAAATATAAAGAAAATAATGGATATTTGCATGAGTAGAAATTTAATACTCCCTCCGTCCATGTATGATCTTCCCATTACGCGTTACAAAACTTGACCGACTTTATTTTCAATTCAATTTAATTGATTATAAGAGTAAAATAGATTAAGCCCCTTTATTGATTAATAACTTTTGCTCCCGAGAAAAGTTTTGGGTGGACCCTATCATTTGCTTCTTTCTTTCTTCATTTCCTTCTCATCCAAAGATAAATGCTTTGCAATTTGTGTTTTGTCTCCTCTCTTTTTCCACCCACTCAAATATGGTAATATATAGTGTAGAATCGGTTATATGATAATATTTGTACATCCGCAATAACTACTCATTTAATAGTAATTAAATACCCATTTACGAGCAACTAAATATTTATTTTTGAGTAACTAAATAATTATTTTTCCAAAATTCAGTAATACTCGAAAACGAGTATTCTGTTACTGAGTAATTGAGTATTCTGCATGGTACCCAAAAATGAGTATTGGTGCGGGTGTACAAAAAATATCTTACATCTGGATGTATTTTATGGGTACTCTCCAAACATATATGCTAAAAGAAAAATGTAATTATTTTTTGCATGTTCAATTTATACTCCGTATATTTTTTCTTTACATATTCTTATTGATAATTTGACTAATAATATACCGAGTAATAATGAGTAAACTGATTATATACACCGCACTTCATCTCTCTCTAAATGGATTGCATGGAAGCTAAAATGAGGCAAAATCTAATATTTTTTCAATTCACGTACTTTATTGAAAAACTGATATACAAATAAAAAAATATAACTTGTATATATAAAAATTACATAAGAAAATTTACTCCATTTGTTTCTCAAAGCTCTACCGCCCTAATTTATTACGCACCTCATAAAACAGTTCTACCCCCACCTAAAATGTCTAAAATGCACCACATTACGTGGTTTATTGCAGGAATGCAGGTAGAAATTGTTTTCAAAGTATTTTTGACATTTTAGATTTGTAGAAGTATTTTTGCGACAATAATCTATAGTGGTACCGATGAATTAAACTGCAAAATTGCTATGGATACACCAAAAACTGTATCTTGAATTTACCCCTAAACCTTTTCACCATACAATTTAATTGTTGATTAAAAAGTTTGATTAGTGATAAAGAATGTATGGTGAAAGTGATGGTGTACTAAATTACACTAATAAAAGTGATGATGAGCATTTATATTGTTATTAATTAGTTAATTGATTAGACCCAGTTAACTAACAAACAATATTTGGTTAACTATAATGATGAAGGCAATAAAGAGTGAGAATCAGCATTTGGTTAGTGGAGGAAGTGGGGGCCACACAGCTTTGGCATCAAACATCACATGCTTGGAAGATACCACCTTTAAGGTTGGCAAGCTTTCTGTTGAAGAAAGGAAGGAGAGGATTCATAGATATTTGCAGAAGAGGAAGGACCGAAATTTTGACAAGAAAATCAAGGTACTTTTTTTTTTTTAATTTACTACCTACCTCAATGAATTTTTTTCCTATTACACGTTACGATATTTAACTAAAATTATTTCATATTAATTTTACAAAAAAGCTATTAGTCCTTCAGTTTCTAAAAAGAGTTCCTATTTCGATTAATAAGTGAAATAAAGAGTATATATTTATAGTTAAATTTCTAGTTTTGCCTTTGATGTCATTGATAAAAGTAAGATATGATGAATAGATTATCAGTAAAAAAGTATGTTGTAATAAGTAGGGTAAGATAAAATAGGGGCAAAAGTAATTTTTTAATAGAAAATAGAAGTGTTTTGGAGAAAGAAAAAAAATAAAAGAGAGTGTTTTAAAAAATAGATAGAGTATATTGCTTAATCAAGGTACTTTTTTTACTCTGGGTATTTCTTTACTCTCTACCTCCATAAAAATAAAATAAAAGATATTTGCATATTGATCTGGATCCATATTGTTTCATACTCCCTCCGTCCCATAAATTGTTACCCATTTTGACTAAAATTGAAATTAAGGGAGGGATAATTTTGTGTTGACTTTCCAAAAATACCCTTGATGTGATGGGTAAAAGTAGTATGTGATGTGTAGATTATTAGAAAAAAAGTATGATGTGATAGGTAGAGTTTGAAAAAGTAAGGGGTAAAAGTGGTTTTTTAATAGAAATGGGTAAGGGATTGTGGGACACAATTTTTTTGAAACGTGTAAATCTTTTTGGGACGGAGGAAGTAATAAACATGTTTTAAAATGAACACTATGTCTTTCAGAATGATGTTGGGCATGCTTCAAAATTAACATTATAGTTAAAAATAAACATTCTGTTTTTTAGCGAAAAAAGTTTCTTGACATGAAGAATCTGCAAATTGCGCAGTACCAATGTAGAAAAACATTGGCGGACAACAGGCCAAGGGTAAGGGGGAGATTTGCCAAGAACGACGATCTGGGGGAGGTATCAGCAAGGGCATTATCGTCCATCACCAGCCAGGAAGACGACACACTGGGTGACGTGGCATCAAGACACAATTTCCTCTACGACCCAAATTACCCCGCTGCCCTCCCCGTCCCCGCCGCCACCGGCGGCCGGCGTTTCAACTCCAATTGCCTCCTGCCACCTGGACCCGTCCCCGGCCCTTATGACATCTGTAACACCCTCTTCTTCGCTGACCCTAACATGCAACGTTGATTTTTTTAATATTAATTAATTATAACAACGACAACAAGACGACAAATTTAGCGTAATTTCACGAATGATGTCTGACGGGGAGGGTATGATATATATACATGCAGACCTTTTATTATTAATCGTCATCATTATTATTATTATTAGTAATTATTAGATCTTCAACTATTAACATTTCTACAGCCACAGGCAGTTTTGGACGTACCCATGTGTACAATTTGGTGTTCTATTGTGATGATAGGGGAAAATGAGCATTTTTTTTGAATGTCAAATAATGTTTGAAACAATTATATTTATATATATGTAGTACGGAGTATATACATACTTACATACATGACAAATTAAAGAAGAGCATACATATATTGTAAATGTTGTAAGTTGTAACGATGGGAGGATTATGTAAAGTTATAGTCAGGTTTTGGTCCTGTATAAATCCTTTAATTTGTGTGCAATGGACAATTTGTCATTCTCAACTCTTGTAGTGGATATAAATGCCAAGTTTTTTCCTGCTTTTTTTTTGTTTTTGCTTTTGTTTTTGTGTGTGTGGATTAACATGTAGTGCTAGGATAAGTTAGGTGACTAATTTGATCATAGCCTCCAACGCTTAAAACTCTCTTACGGGAGGATTTGATTTCGAATCACTCTATGAGTGAAATGAAGGGTTCGATGCATAAATAAACTTCTCGATTCTCATCTATTAGACTAGCTCTTTGGTCCGATCAATTAGGGACGCGTGATGTCTCAATTGTGGAACCTCTAGTTATTTCAATTTGTTCTTTATTATTCTTTAATTTATGGTGTGTTTGGTGAGCAAACAAGATATGAGCTTTGACATCTATAGATATCAGAAATTTAGAATTCTTTTTGGGTGTTTGGTGAAACAAAAAAAGATACCGAATTCGATATCTCCAGACATCATAAATCTTTCAAATTGGAATTAAGGGTTCCGACATCTCCCGAATTTGAGAGATATTAATATGAGAGTTTGTTATCTCTCTCAACCATTGATCATTCTCCGACAACGGCTAACATTGTCACCCCCAACCACCCATGTTGCCAATTATCTCTGTTTTCACTAATTAAATCATAATCTTAAATCTCTGCAAATAAATGCATTTGAGATTTCAAAACTCATATCGTTTCTCTCAGATTTTATCACACATATTTTATCATATCTCCAAATTAAAACTCACCAAACGGGCCCTTAATTTTTCAAAATCCACGTCATTCTGACTCTTTTAAAAAAAATTAAAGGTTAAAACAATGTCAATTTGATAAAAGAAAAAGGGTTGAAATAACAAAAATAAATCCATAATTTGAACACCTATGTTTTTTGCTTGTTGTTTATGAAATTTATGTTATTTTGTCAAGGAGTATAACATTTGCCACGGAACCCGCGACGAAAATCGTCCATCGCAAAATTCGTAGTAAAGTTTAGAGAAATATCTGTCATAGATGTTGTCGCAATTCCGTCGTAGCTAGGATACAATACAAGAGCACAAATTTAATTCGGGTTGCAAGTTCCGTCCCAGAATTACGATAGAAGGTGTCTGTCGTAGAATCCATCACAGAATTGCGACGTCATCGTCACATTTGCTCTTGCCACAAAATTGATGCGACATAATACAAACCGTAGCAATTTTCGTTGAAACCATCGTTTGCGATGGAAAAATTTCGTTGCAGATGCACATATTTCTTGTAATGGAACCCCATGCACATGTTTCTACCCAAACAACCACTAGACCTATCAAGTACCACACGACTCTAACCACTTTTTCCTTACAGCTAGCATAACTTGCCACTAATCCATTCAGGTCAATTCTAGAGTTCCTTTGGGTATACTACTTCGACACTACTTTCCATTCATATTTACACAACATATACAACATGCATTATATAGCAAAACATAATCAATCATCACCAAACATGTTCAAACAGCAGCCTAGTGCTAGGTGGCATGTGAACCTTCATGCTTACTATCATACAACATATATTTTCTTGGAATAAATCCTTGACACGAAAAATAGGTTTGTAACTAAAACTACAGTTTAAAAGGTACTTGTCACGGTACCGGTGCGGTACCTAGGGCCTAACTGGTAGGCGTACCGTCCGTCTGGTACTTGGGTACCGAACGAACACAAGTCTCGCCTATGATTATTGGCCTATGGCAGCATCGAGGTGCCGGTAGGCCAGTACCACGCTATCGTCTAACGCGATAATTTCTTATATTTGCACTAGTTTAACTCTTCAACAACAACCAAAAACGAATTATCAAAAATTCAATGTGACTGCGTTCACAGTTCAATTTCTAACTATATCCAACCCCCACCATGGTAAAACCATAACCATTCATGCTTTTAAACTACCAATTATCAATAAAACCAAACGAAACTATATATCAATTCAAGCATATTTAAAAGAAATATTTGCACTAAATAGCACTAAAACTTAAGTCATTTTCCTAAATAGCATTTAAATTGTTTTATTCTCTAAATAGCACTTAATAATGTCCATAATATCTTGTGTTGGCAAATATTTACTTGAATAATGACTAAAAGTGCTACATTGGGAAGAAAAATACATGTAGTGCTATTTAGAGAAAGTCATTATGTTTTAGTGTTATTTAAGTAAATTACTCTATTTAAAAACCAAATCAACGCCTAAATCATGTGTTCTATCATTTTCAATCAAGATAATTCTCGAAAGCACACCCAAGAAGTTAAACCAAGTAATTCATACACATCAATCACGATAATAACTACGAAAATTTCAAACTTAGATGCATATTCTAGTGTTAGATGTCCACGTGCTCACCTTGTCAAGGAATTGACAAAGATTGCATCGTCGGTACCTAAACCACCACTATTGCCTAGATGCTCTAGGTCATTACTATAGTTGTCTCAGATCGGTGTTCTTCGTCAAGGCCGTCGACTTGTTGCCCGCCAATCCTTAGCTTGAGTTTGTCGCTGGGACGGGAGGGGCGGATTACTGCCTCATCCTGTCAATTTCTCCACCCATCATTGTTGCTGGTGGAGACCGTCAGAGTAGGGAGGAGCTACACCAGATTTGCTCGCCGTTGCCTATGTTTATTTCCAAAAATAGTCGAGCTCCGCCGCTGTAATGCGAGATCACCAAAAAAAGAGAAGTTACGCTAATTTTTTTTGCCGCTGACTAGCGGTCGAGCAGGATAGGCACCATGCCAACGTTAAGAGGATCCGTCATCAGAAATCACCGCTGTGGGGCCCACCACTGCAGTTATCGCCAGGAGAATTGATTTTTAAGTTACCGCTATGAGCGATAACATCACAGACCGGCAAAGAAGATTGGAGAAGGAGATCGGGAAAGTCATTGCTGGGATCAATTTGCTACCGTCGCCCCAAATAACGCCACCGTCACTGCTGGTCACTGGTTGCCGCCGCAGACCAGTGGTTAACCGATGTTGCAATTTTTTTAAATTAATTTTTTTTATTTTAACATTAAAAAATGGTGAGTTTTGGTATTCAAATTGATGAGCTTTGTTTTATTTCCAGCTGAGTTTTGCATTTGTCATTGGTTAGTTTTGCAGTGTAATGTGGTGAGCTTTGCATCATCTCACTGAAGCATGTCAATTTACCGTAAAGTGTCATCTGATCGGAGTCCTTTTTTGGTAGTGGCGCTCCCGGTGGTGCGCATGTTGCTAGTGGCGAGAATTCCAAAAAAGTTTGAATGATCAAATAACACGTCTTATATCTATGCTAGTGTCATCCACGACGTCTCAATATCATGGTATGACTCCTAAACTTTGTGATTGGTTAACTGATAGTGGGGAATCTCACTATATGACGGATGATATCTTCCATATGTTCAACGTTCATATTGTACAACCTTACAAAATTGGTGTACGTACCAAATGGCTCTTGTGTGGAAGCCACACAACAAGGGAGTGTGTGGCTTTCTTCTCGTCATTTACTTACTCAAGTATTATTTGTGTCAAATTTACATTGCCATTTGATCTTTAATTTGTTGGTTGTCTTGTTCATCATAATATTTTTTGTATCTTTTTTACTGATCAAAATTGTGTAATACAAGACCCTTTGTCAATGACAGAGATTGGAACATTGGAACAGGGTGAACTGCGAAACGGAGTCCTTGTGCCCTGCCTTCCTAGTTTCACCGCCCACTCCGCTCGGAGTCTTCCACAATCGACCCTTTCATTCCTCGTTAGTGACTGCGTCATCCTTCACCTAATATTTCCTCTTACCTTTGTTCAAATAAAAGTAACTCTCTTATCAAGAAGTTATAAAGATGTGAGATTTTTTTGTCTAAACAAACTTTTCTTTTCTCAAGTCTAATAAAGCAATATTATTTTTGATTTGATTTATTGTGATTTATGGAGTTCTTATTTTGCATTTATACATCCTCTGGTGTTCATGATTTTCTAAAATTAAAGATAAAACTATACAAGTGTGGTGACCTCTTGTTCAATTTTTAAAATTAAGATTAATAAATAACATTGTTTCATTTGTCACCTTATTTTTGTTACTTGGATCAGTGACATATATGCTGATTAAAATTGAAAAAAATAATCTCTTCATTGGAAAATCTCATTCCTCTTCTTTTTTTCTTATCCCACAAAGTTCTTATTTTTTTTTCTATTAAAAAAATTATTTTCACTGTTACTAATAATTAACATACCTATCACATAATACCTTTTTACTAATAATCTCCACATCACATACACTTTAATTTTACCCATCACATCAAAGATATTTTTGAAAACTCAACTCAAAATTACTCCTTCCTTAAATTTTCTAAAAATCAAAACAAGAACATCTTTATGAAACAGATCATATGAAGTATGTGATAGATATTGATACTCCGCATTAAAAAGTAAAAACAAATTAAAAGTGAGTATGAGTTACACAAATAGAGCGTATTACTAATATGATTTGTTACAAAAATATAATAATGACATTAGAAAAAATACTCCCTCTTGTGCATGTAGTTATTTTCAAATCATTTTATATGAAAAATAGTGTAAAATTTTAAAATAAAAATTACATATTAAAAAACTATATCAAAAGATCTATAAAACTAGAGGTGACATGACTATATTATTTTATCAACTGGGTGACGAAAATAGGCCGACAAAGTGAATAAAATTTGAAAATTGAAAGCAATATACTATTATAAAATATTCTAACAAAATATAGAATTTATAAAATGTAGTATTTTTTAAATACTTTAAATTTTTTCTTTCAAATTTTTCCAAATCTTTTTTAATTTTTAAGAGTGCTATTTCAGGGAAGGGGGTTTAGATCGTTTTTTCAGGAACCCAATCGTGGCCTACGCCAATTCTTGTCCAGGCACTGCGTTTAAAATTCAACACACTTCAGCCTTTTCAGTTAATTCCTAATTTCTTATGTTTTGTGGTTTTTGACTCCGTCCCTCCCCCATCTCTCTTTCTCTGCATATTTCCTTTGGCAGCTGACCGCAGCTCTCAGAAATCAGAATCTTATTACTTTCCGAAGAAAATAAAATAAAAATCAGATTTTAACAGTTATTGGAGTTTTGGAGGAGCTCTGGACCATCTCTAGTTGGTAAAGTTCTTTCCTTTATCTCCTCCCCTTTGGTCTGATAAACGAAATTTGATTTCTTGGTAGTGAATTTGCTTTCAATTGGTCTTCCATGATTAGAGATTGAAAAGCTATATGCTTTCTTTATTGGATTTGGGTTTTCTCTATTACAAAGATGAAATTGCTCTTTGGGTCAAGAACTTGATGGGGATTAGGTATTTGGGTCAAAGTCCTTTAGGTGAGCAGAGACTTGGATTTTAGGGTTTCATAGGGGTGAAGTTCTTTCATACATAAATACCTGCTTTCTCCTGTTTGATATTTTCTTTTTCTTACTTCAACTGTTTATTTTGTGGATAGAATGGTTTATCTTGTTTATTTGATTGAAGATTACTTCTTATTGCCACTCTCTCAAGTCTCAACTGTCTGGGTTCTCCCTGGTGTTGAAATAGCTTCTAGTTTGAAATGCTTATAGTGGCTATCCCTTTTACTCTACTGATTGTTTTGCCTCAATCCTTATCATAGTTTCCATTGCATTCCAATATTTTTTATTTCTGAAAACAAGATTTCCTTTTGGAAATTTTATAAAAATGGCATAATAAGGAGTTTGCGTCTGTGATGATTCATTCTGTTGCAATTATGCATATCACAATTGGAATCTCTGTTTTGGTTTTGTAAAGACTCATTTATTGCTATTGCTCGTACCTTACCATCATCGCCGTGGCATGTTAGTGTCCATTAATTGTCATTTGACAGTATAAATTCACGCAGAAAAGGTTACCTTTTTTAGAACTGACTTACGGAGTATTTTGTTTTCCATTGATTTCTTATAGGCAAACTATTTACACTCTCTTTCCGACATCACAACAGAATATCTACAAGATTACCAGTACCAGTTAAAGGCAAAGCCAGAAGTTCATTTACTTTAATGTTTTCTGGTATATTGAAGCTGGCATACCGAAACAAAAAACATGGTTGAGAATGATCAAGAGAGGGAATGCCCATTCTGTTTTATGAATGAGACATTTGAATCAGCAGAAGACATTAACTTGCCAGAAAGTTCAGTCGCAAATTTAGAGCCGCACCACTTACTTCTTTTGAGGTGGTTCTTCAACAACTTTCATGGTGTAGACGAAAAGCTTTCGAAGAAAATAATAAGTTTTGATGAAAGATTTTTACTTGGTTGCCTAGAACTTATACACGCTCAAGCATCTAGGGTAGCCACTTGTTATTTGTCCCCAGATATGGAAGTTTTCTCAGATAGCTTAGATTCAATACAAGATAATGACATCTGGATGGACAATAAGACAGATTTGGTTGTTGAATGTTCTCGTGAAGGAGGTAATGGTGAGAATGTTGTCATGAAGTCTACTGAGGATTGGATCGTTGGTTCAATTACGGGTAGTAAGAGTATGATGAACATACTGAAGAGCCCTTTACTTAACAGGCCGGGTACCCAAGGATCCAACTCTGGAAAGATTGGATCACTAGATCTTAAGGACCCAAAATATTCTGATGTGATAAGTTCTCGTGGTGGCTTTAGTACTAGTTCGTCCGTTGGATTTCCAGGACATAGAAAGCACTATTCTATGTCAACTACAATCTCTACATGCTCAGATCAGTCTTCTTTTGTAGCTTCTGTTATTTCTCACGGCATGCTTGAGATAACATGGAAAGATGATTTGCCACATTTTGTTCTTTCTATGGATGGTAAGAAGGAGGTATACGTTGCAGATGTGGTCAAGGCTAACTCGGCTGATGACAAGTGTTTGGATTATTTGTACACATTTCGTTTAAGGCCAGAAGGAAAACTAGAGGATAGTATACGTGAAACCGAATTAGCTTTTCTTGGTAAAATGACAGTTTCTACATCTTTCACACTCTCTCCGAACGAGTTAGAGATTATGGAGACCCTGTTTGTCCTGTATGGTTACAGTGATGATTGTGCACATAATTCACTAACTTCAAACCACATTCGCAGAAAAAATACAAAACTATCAAAGAAAGGACTGGTCGACATGTTTAGGCAGAGAAAGCTGTTGAAGTTTGATGAAAGAACAAATGCCATTCTTGAAGAGAGTTCCATGGATACCTGTGGTAAGCCTGACTTGGGTGGCATTAACCACACAGATTATCAACTCATCACAAACTTTGAGCAGGTTGCTATAGTTGTCAGAAGCCATCTTCACAATAACACCCATAAGAAGGCAGGAGCCGGAGGATGGGGCTTGAATTTCCTCAAAAAAACAAGGGTTAGGCAGGAGATCAAGTGTTTAGAGACTACAAGTGTTGAATGGTCAACAACCACGAATGTAATAATACCAGCCGGTTTCCATGGTGGACCGGTAACCAGAAATGGGGGCCCCACTAGCCTGATAGATAGGTGGTCTTCGGGAGGGCACTGCGAATGTGGAGGTTGGGATATTGGTTGCCCGCTGACAATTCTCAACACTAGACGAAACCCCGTTGAAACCTTTTCTGGAGAAGACGATGTATCCATAGATTGCAAAACTATAGATCTCTTTGTACAGGTCAGTGCAGGGAAAAAAACTTGGGATACATATTGTTTCTTTATGGCATATTTAGTTGAGGGTCAATGTTTTTTTGTCCTATTGCATCTATATATGTGCATTTGTGAAACTGAGCCTATGAAAAAAATGACATTTTTGTTTGAACCATGAATTTACAGGGCTCAAGACAAAATGTACCAATAATGAAAGTCTCGAACCTTCGCGACGATTTATTTTATGTTCACTTTGAACCGAACCTGTCACCCCTGCAGTCATTCGCTATTGCTGTTGCGATTATTCATAGTCATGAACCTATTTTTCGGTCCAAAATGTACCGGAGGTGATGGGAACAAGATAAAGATTTGGCTCCTAAGGCATAGATCAATTTGTGGATATTCATTGTGTACATCTAGTGTGAGTTTTTTTCTTTTGTTTTGTTTACAAAAAATGTAGTTGAGAGAGACTTGTTTATACTGTCTAGATATGCAACTCCTTTTGCCATTGTGTTCCTCTTTGTTAGTGCTTGTTACTAGTTAGTATGTTTTCCTTGTTGGGCCTCACACTTCTTTGTGGGCTAGCTTGTGGGCCTTGTATTCGCTTTGATAATGCGCCGACCGACACTCAAGAGGATACGGGAATGCAGTATTGGACACGACACCGACATGGTTCAGGCACATGCCTTAAGAGTGTGAGATTAAAAGTACTTTTTCTGTCCCAAAAAGAAAGCCACGGTTCCCTGTTTAAGAATTACGGAAACTTTTGTTTATTCTTACATTTTCATCGGTTGTTTAATAAAATAAAATATTCTTGTCACTTTTTGTTTTGCAAAACCTTTGACGTATTTTGTAATTATAAAAATTTTATTTTTTATTTTTATATTGATTTCTAAATAAAATAAATTTAAAAAATTAACTTTGTTTTGCTTAATTACACAAACATTTTGGGACGGTCCTTCCACTTCTTCAAATTAAATGAGAATATTAACTCTCTTTGATTTGGATGATCCTGCACCCTTTCCTAAATCTTGGGCCAGTTTGAGTGACCCATTGGGGCGCATCGTATTATTCTATTTTATGGGCCTCAAATATTTTTTGACAATATGAAGTCAAAGCCCAACATGACAGTGGGGCTTAGAAAGACCCGGAAGTCCAGAACTGAAACCCTAGCCACTTCATTCTATATAATCATACTCCAATTCCTTATCCCCAATCTACCCGATCAAAATGTCGAAGCGAGGTTCGATTTCTTATTTCTCTCCATTTCATGTTTCTTTAGCAATGTGTTCGTCTGATATAGTTTACAAATGATGATGATGATGTAGGGCGCGGAGGATCGGCGGGGAACAAGTTCCGGATGTCACTGGGTTTGCCGGTGGCCGCGACGGTGAACTGCGCCGACAACACGGGTGCAAAGAATTTATACATTATCTCCGTTAAGGGCATCAAGGGTCGCCTCAACCGTCTGCCGTCGGCTTGCGTGGGTGATATGGTGATGGCCACTGTGAAGAAGGGGAAGCCCGATCTCAGGAAGAAGGTCATGCCTGCTGTCATCGTACGTCAGCGCAAACCTTTTCGCCGAAAGGACGGGGTTTTCATGTACTTCGAAGGTACACTCTCTCGCTCTCATTCGCTTTCTTCTGTAGTTTTATATTGCTTTTGCTTTTTCTTAACCAAACTTAACCCATATATGATTTTTTTAACTTGACAATTTAGCGGGTTTGTTAACCAAGCTGTGTATTTGACGTGTCATTTATATTTCAATATGAAGTCTAAATAAGGGCTTAAATTGTTGCATTTTGTAGTCATTTCTGTCAAGTTGTCTCTTGATTTCGTTGTTTTGTCTACAATTGATTTAATGGTGTCTGATGTGATGCTTTTTAAGACAGAACACGGTTTATTCTTAACTCGTCACGGGGCTATCATTGAGTGTGCCTACACTAATACCCTGACTCAATTTTGCTGGTAATGTGGTTTTGAGTTTAATTTGTAGTATCTCAATACCTCCCATGTCCAGCTAAAGTTGTACAACCAATCTTCCCTTACCCCGGATGGTATGTTGTCCTTACCATCCCTGTCAAGCTTGGAAAATTTCATCACTGGTTTCTAACAATTTTTAGTTTCTTATTATGATCAATTTGTTGGTTCCTCTGCACTAAAACCACCATTTACACGATCTATAAAGTTGTTGGTTGATAATGTAACAATGCATATCTGTGATACATATAGAACTCTGTATTTGTTGAGTCTTGCTGTAAGTGATAGTTATGATACATATGTTTTCAGTTATTGTACATGTATCAGATAACTTGATGCTTTCCCTTTTCAGCAACATTAAAAATCATTATCGAATTTTAATCGAGTGGGGGAGTTCTGTTATGGACCTCACTTTTCGCTGTTCAGCACAATTGTAGCATATTTTGTAGGAATTTGCGGACAATAGGACAGAATCAAATAGATGCAGTTTGCATGTCCCTAGGGGCTTTAGCTTTTAGAGTGTGCTCTTCACAAAACTCAACTGCAATGTTTATATCCAAAGTTGCTTTGACATTCTCATCTTATTTAAGCATGCTATTGTGTTCCAAACAATGGTTACATACTCTTAATATTTTTATGGCTAAATCCAGTCTTTTTCATGTACTGGTCTTGTAAATGGTTAGTGCAGTTCATAGGCTGGTACATCAATCTAGTCTCTCGTTACAGAAGTTTTGGTGTTTTTCATGCATACTTCTGTTCCACATTGACCAAACATTTTGAAACTCAGTTCTAGTGTGTTACGTCCAGACATTAGTCAGGTATCAACCTTGGTTTATTAGGTTGTTACAGTTACTTGTCTGGGAAATGAATTGCGTCCCTCGTTACGGATATGGTTTTCATTTAAGATCATATCTGCTCCATTTGGACTCAACAATATTATATCACCTTAAGTATAGAGTATTACTAATAATATAATGATACAGGAATCAATCTAGGTTTATCAAGTTGTTACAGTTACTTGTCTAGAAAAGATAACCTGCCCTCAGGATATGGTGTACATTAAAGATCATGTCTGCTCCATTTGGACTAAACATTTTTTCATTGCCCGTAGTACTCTATTAGATTTTAATGACATGTGTTATTACCTGTCATCAGTCAATAATCTTACTTGGCATGCTAGGTTCAGGTCAATAAATTTTGTTGTCCTGAGTAGGAATCATGTATTGGAAAGGAATATTCACTATTATTTGACTTTGGAGTAAGATAGAATAAAGCAAAATGGTTCTCAAACTATTTGTCCTTTGATTGTGGAGTAACTGTTAGTCCCCGCAATGTTCGTTGTTGAACATGGGTTATTTGAAATTGCAGCTCTATGTTTTAACATAGCAGTTGGGCTGTGTGCATCCACCCCCTTACCCCGAAATGGACTAGCTCTATTTTTACAAAGGCGTCAGGCTCTGTGCATCTGGCCCCCTTTACCATGCAAGGGCTGGAGCCTGGGGCATTGTTGTATTCTTAATAAGAAGATTGGAAGTGTTTTGGGTTTATGCTTATTGGTGAACTGATATTCCTGATTGGTAAAATGTGCAGATAATGCTGGAGTTATTGTCAACCCCAAGGGTGAAATGAAAGGTATGCACTAGTTTTTCTGTTCATCTTCTTTTCCCATTAAAAGTGCTATGTAAGAATACTTTTGTTTGAAAAATGCACTGAATTATACAGAGTAGTATCTTAGTGAAAGCTATTGTCAAATTAGAGTTATGTATTTTCAATTAACTGTTTTATATTTTACAAATAAACATTTGTTTTGATGAAAATTGAACACTTTTGTTCACCCATGAGTTCATGACTCATTTTAGGCTGGAGGCAGTGTTAAGTATCATGGTTTTTGTAACTGATGTATAGCTGATTTTGTGTGGTGGATTAGGTTCGGCTATTACGGGTCCAATTGGGAAGGAATGTGCAGATTTGTGGCCTAGAATTGCAAGTGCAGCAAATGCCATTGTCTGAGGATAGCTCTTCAAGTGTTGTGTTTTGTTTGGAGACCTCTTTGCTTTCTCATTTCAGACTCATCAATTAGATAAAGTTTTGAACTTGGTGTATTATACTCTTGAAGTTTCAATGGTTTCGAGTCTTCCATCTTGGATTTTGAACATATTCTCTCATCCGAAAGACTACTTATTCTACTTCTATGAGTATCAAGACAAGTCTATACAAATTAAATGGCTAGTTTACAATTTACAAGGTTAAGTTCAGATCCATATGAACAAGTTCATTCAAGCAGGATATTTACTTTCTTGGTTTCTGGCCTAAGAGTAAAATAGTAGTTGAACTACGGTTTGCTCTTGTGAGAAACAATGCATTCTTTTGGACGAAAAAAACCTGCATTTTCTACAAGAACCAAAATATTTGAGTATTTAAATAGTATATTTACGAGCATTAAAAAAAATCTAGTTTTATAGGAAGAGGAATGCGCAAATATTTTGGTCACAAATTTACTATTTATACCTTTAGGTTTTTAACTTTTATTCCATCCCTAAATATTTGTCACATTTATATTTTTGAGGTGAAATATCAAGTTTTTAAAATTCATTTTATTTACACATTGATGTAGAAATAAAAAATAAAATTTACATATAGAAAAAGTACATGAAAAGTTTTTTGGAATAAGAGGTGTCAAGAATATTTTTATTTTATCAAATAACCAATGAAAACGTAGAAATAAACATAAGTTTTTGCGACTGCTAAAAAAGTAAGTGGCAAATATTTTGGGACGAATCGAGTAATAATTCATGAATCTTTTGTTCACTTGAGGCACATAGAATGACAAATTGGTGTAGTGTGTGACTAATATGTTGGTGTAAAATATTGTTGATGTTTTTCTTGAGTTATTGGCTCGAGCAATGTGTGGTATTTATTAAGAGCACCAGCAGTACCGAGACAATTCTTTGCCACGCCCCGCCACATCATCCAATCAATCCATTTGCCTCGCGTGGCTAAGAGATTTTGCCATGCTTGGCATGGCAGGAATGGCAGCTGCAAGCTAAGGCACTCTTTTTTTAATTTGTTTTTTGTAAAAAAAGATTTTTTTTAAAATAAAGTACATCTATTTTTATGAAAAAAAGATAAGTAAAATAATTTTTAATAATTAAAATATCTTTAAAAAGTGTAAAAACTGACAAAAGCAATGACTTGTCATTGGAAGGAATGTCCCTCGACTCACTTGCCACACGCTGACTGGATTGATTTTGATCGGTTAAAATACTCCACGTCACCATGTGACATTCCATATTTTACTTGTCATTGCCTATGCTCTAATGGGTGAACTTCCTTATTAATTTGCAACAAGAATATTTAAATTCCATAAATGTAATTACTAGCATACAACTACTATTACTTATAAAAAATATCATTATCCCACAAAATTGTTCTACACCCCCTGTTCTATAAAGACATTTCACTTTAGACTTGATACAAAATTTAAGAAAAAGTAAATTTGTTGGAGTGAAAGTGATGTTCAAGAGAGAAATTATAAGGGCAATTAAATTATTTTCAAAAGTGAAAAGTTGATCATTTCTCAGGGGAGTGCCAAAAATGAAATGTGGTCCTTTTTATGGGAAAAGTAATTAATTTGGTTTACAATGTTCGTTTAAATTTATATATAATTCAATTTATATGAAAATTAAAAATTTAATCATTACTCTTCAATTTATATATTTATAATTAAATTAAATTTTTATAAAACAAAAGATGAATATTTTATTTTTTAGATAATAAAAATAACAAGTGAAGAAAGATGATATAGTTTAATAATGTGAATGCGAAATACTCCGTATATATTAATGTGGAAGCTTTATATGAGACCAATGGAGTATTAGAACGCATGCATTGTTTCTAAACTTGGAATCTCTTATAATAAGTGAAGAAGTATCTAATTAAGATAACAAAACAAAATTTTCAATGTTTCAATGTAAAATAGGATTTAAAATGCAAAGTAATGGCAACATATAATGCCAACAAAAATTGTGAAATGTTAAATATAATACAAATAATGATATTTACAGTCCAAATACTCCTATTTATGAGATAGAAATAGGCAATCTCATTTTGATATAAGTTTCATATTTTAATCTTTAGGTAAAAAAAGTGTAATGCGCGCACAATTACCACGCCACTACTATCCCGTAAACGATGTTCTTGTCCGACTTTTACGATGTTTAAGAAAAGAGAAAACTTTATTATGCTATTCCGTATTATTATACGGAGTATAAGAATTTTTGTAGAGGAACTAAAGGAGAAGAATTGCAAGTCATTCTTTTATTGCTTTAAAAATAAAGTAAAGAATTTTTAGATTAACAAAAAAGAAAAGAGATGTTTTTTTATGAGAAAACATTATATGCAATGGTTTGCTCCTGGTAGAGTAGATTTGTTCTTTATTATTGCTCCCTCTGTTCATAAAAGAATGACTAATGAGAGAAATAAAGAGTTGCTCCCTCTTTATAATTGCTCCCTCTTTATTATTTTTCTTCCATCTCAACTCTAGCTTAGGATTGATTAATTTTTTTTTATTTTCCTGTAAGTGTTAAAAAATGTAGAGGCTATATTGGAATTTCGGTAGATCGACACAGAGTGTTGGGTGAGATTTAATCATTTACGCATATAAAGTTCGGATCCACTTTCTATCCAAAAACGTAAACCAATGGATAGTGCTTCGGCGTGGGAAATAGCCCAACACACGACTCGAACATGCGATGAGAGATGAAAATGAATTGGAAGGGCTAATAAGAGAGTTGCCTGTTCTTGTTTATGTTGCTCGGGAGACGGCTAACTTTGGACAAAAAATGAAAATAAGAAAGCGGACAACTAAATTCGAGGAGAAAGAGAAGAAACTTCCTGCCTTTCATGTTTTGTTTATGTTTGCAATAAAAAATAATTGGGTTTCTTTAAGCCCCCCTGGTGCATTGCAGAAGGAGCTTTGGTTGATGGTCTCTTGTACTTGCACGCAATGGGTTGACAATCACAAGTTTTAGTTTTTGTAGGTTTGGTTCTTGAATTAAGTTATTTGCACACCAAATATTGTATCCCGAAATCATGCACCAATATTTTGTGCTAATGTGATGGTTTATAATGACACGAAACGTTAGTGTACTTTTTTTATTATTGAAATACGAATTAACATTTTGTGCTTGTGTAAATTGTCAAAATATGGGTGCATGTGTTTGGGGTACACTTCTTAGTGAATCCCATTGTTGGTTCTTTGACAGTTAGTAAGATAGAGATATGAAACACAATCACCAATCTTCTTCTAGTAACACTGTGTGTGTGTGTGTTTTGTTTGCTAGTATATTTAGCTAGCTCCGATCCCTCTTCAAAAAAATATAATCAACCTAATAATTACTTATGTTTTGCACTACTTGTCACTTTCAAATACATGAAACAAAGACAATAATAAATACCATACAAGAAGAAGAATAAATTTTTTTCTATTAAAATCGCAGCTGGAGGTTGCTTACGTACCCAGTGTAACAAGTTATACGAATTCTGGGATCAAGCGGCACACGTAGTTCTTAATTACATCATTAGATCAATTCAATCTTACAAATTAAAAAAATTCCAAACGTAGTCTAAATGTATGTAAACAAGAAAGAGTAAATAATGTGTATGTGGTGGACTAATTATTAAAATTGTTCATCATGAACGAACGAAATCCTCATCTTCATCTTCTTCTTCTTGTTGTTGTTGATGTTAGATCATCAATCATCATCGTCGTCGTCGTCCTCCGATCCTCCTCTTAGGGTTTGGGGCCGCAGCAGTGGTTCGGTCGCGGGAGAGGAGCATCGTGGTTTCAGAAGCGCCGATGCACTGAATCTTTCTCTTGGCCTTGTTTTCCGCAACTTCCGCGTAACGCCGGCTCAGGTTCCTCTTGGCGGCTTCCAGCAGCTTATTGTTCTCCTCCGCGGCGGCGGCGGCGGCTTTCCTGAAGGACGACCCAACAGCAGCAGCTTCTTGTCCCGGAGTACTATTATTATTGAAGGCGGCGGCGGCCAATTCATCATCATGGGGTTTCTTCTTGAGAATCTTGATCCTTATCTTTCTTGAACAAGAAACGGCTGCGGCGGCGGGTTTGTTGTCGATGATGTTGATGTTGTTCTTCTTCTTGGCATTGATCGGCGTTTGAGGATGATGATGGTGATCATCGTTGAAGAGGAGTTTGAGGATGTGGGTCCTGTGGTTGTTGAGCTGGTCGGGGGCGACGACGGAAGCGACGGAGATGGCTTGCCGGATGAAGGTGACGATGTCTTGGTCGTCGTCCTCCTCCATCTTGTGCACCCTCCTCCGGAACACCGCTCCCACGTCCTCCTCCATTATTACTTCCTTCTTTCTTTCTTTCTTGTGATTGCGTTGCGGCTAGGGATCACACTCACTCACTCACTCACGTAGTCATCACGTATATATACTTCGTATTTTGTTTCCTAAATTCTAGGGCTTCCTTGCTTGCTTAAGAATTCCGCCTTTGACTCCTACTTTGACTCTTACTTTGGACTATTAACTAACACACACTCACTCACTTCCAAATTTATTCCTCTCTCTTCCACCTAAACAAATTATGCCCTTCATCTCAAACTACAAGCGGTTTCATTTATTTCTCATTATTAATTACACACTTCCAATTCATCTGAATTCTTAACCAAAAATTTTATTTATTTTTCATTCACCTTATTTAATTAAACATGCAATGGTCTAAAATCAAAGCCCAAATTGCACTAGTGTTTGAAAAATTGGGACCAATACTCGATCCTTCTCTTTTCAAAACTTATTTTTAGAGTCATCGTGGTTTTTAAAAATGTTGTGCGCTTGCATCCACACATCAATGTTCATTTTTCGGTCAATTTGCGGTGCAGAGAGATCAACATTGGTGTCTAATTTCTAAACCAAAGGGGGGTACTCGTACTCATTTCTTATCTGTTTTTTCTTCTTTCTATTAACTCTTTTTTACCTTTTCCTAGAAAAGTTTTTTAAACGTCTTTTCAATCTTTTATAATGTTATTAAAAAATTCAAAATTCTTTGAGTTTGAGATAAAAATAAAAGGTGTTTTTATAAAAAAATTCAAAATTCAAAATTCAAAATTCAAAACTCAAATTCAAAATTCTTTGAGTTTGAGATAAAATTCAAAATTCAAAATTCTTTGAGTTTGAGATAAAAATTAAAAAATTAAAAAATTAATTTCTCTCAAATTAAGCATTTTCACTTTTTATTTTTTAGAATAATTTTTTTGATAAGTTCACAAAGAAAATCCAGAATGAAAAAATAAAAATAAAAATATGGAAAAATAAAACGAACAAAATTGAAACATGCAAAATAGATTCTTATACAAAAAGAAATTTCCAGAACGCCTAAAAAATCCTTATAATAGGGATGTCCAAAAAGAATATTCTTTTTTTTAATTTTCTTTTATTATTCAATTTTTGAAGTTCTCCAAAAAAATTGCTTTTTTATTTTGGAAAAAAATAAAAATGGTCAATTTGAGACGCGCAGATGCAGTACGTACAATGCTCGTTATTGGCAATTATCTATTCAAGATTACAATTTACGCATCATTCTAAGAGGATGTTTGGGAGTGATTAACTTATGGATAAAGTGATTTCTACAAAAGCTGAAAGCAAAAGCACCACATACTTACTTCTCCGAAATGGTGTTCTAGGTACAAAATAGTGGTTGTGAAAAGTAGAAGCTGACATGTCAAACAGAACAAAACTACTTCTACTCAAAGCAGAAGCTAAATTATTAAAAGCAGCACACTGCCAAACACTCTCTAAGTAAAGAAGTACTTAAGCTCCCCATTTAGAATCTGATTTCCAAGCACAATTCTTGCTAAGTAATTTTATTCGTATCTTTCCAAAATTCATGTGTGTTTACTTCGCTTTGAATCTTTGAAAGCCCATATGAATCTTCTTTCATAATGAAAGTGTTAGAAGTATGTGGACGACAATGCTTTGAAAATTGTAATTTCATTTTTTTCTTTTCAAAATATTATAAGTGAAGAGTATATTAAAATGGTGATAAGTACTACTACGTATCTTCCTTCTTGAGTATTTGTTCAGTTTTGAGTTTTTTGCAGTCAACCATTTTTAATTTTTGACCAATAATGATAAAATGAAATATATATTGTATATTAATCAAATAAGATAATATTTTGAAAACATATTATATAATGAACCTAATAAAATTATTTTCGTATCAATATTTAATATCACTTTTATTTAACTTGTGGTCAAAGTTTATCAAAATATTTAAAGATGAACAAAGGAGTGTATATTTTTTAAGTCTAAATTGCAAAAAAAAGTGTAGCTTCTTAACAAATATTCTAGGGTCGTGGTCGGTACGATAAATCTAATAAAATTATTTTTGTATCAATATCTAATACTCGTAATTTATAGTCAAAGATTACTAATTTTGACTGAAAGACATCAAAAAGGACAAGTACTCATTGACAAAGGAAGTGTTTTTTTCTTTAAGTTGTTGCAAAAAAAATGTAGCTGCTTACAAAAACCAAAGGCAGGACGACCGTGGTCGGCAGGATTCGAGAACCTGCGCGGGCAGAGCCCACATGATTTCTAGTCATGCCCGATAACCACTCCGGCACGACCACAACATGATGCTCTTTTTCTCTGATTTCCATATTTATAAATAACAGTATTTTGATTCAAACGAGAGAGAGGTTAAAGCAGTTTTTCATCCTACATCCCTTTTAAATTTTTTTGTTTACTACTCCATCCATTCCAATTTAAATCATTTATGGTTGATTACAAAATTTGATTGAAATATTTTTTTACCAATTTATTTTTAAAATTGTTATGAAATTTAAATAAATAAAGTTTATACATTTAAAAGCTACATAAAAATTTATACCCTAGTACAAAACAAGAGTTGATCAAACCATATAATTTTATCAAATGAGTAGCTAAAATGGGTAAAAATGTGATTGAATTGAAGCGGAGAGAGTATTAAAATATAAAACGACGAAGTATTTTTTTCTTGCCCATCTAATTTAATCACTTTTAACATTCAAATAATTAAGGAACCTGCTATTTAATTGTTTACATATACATAGAAATTTTATTATTTTAATTTTACAACTTATTTAAAAAAAAACTAAATTGAAAACAAAAACAATCAAATATTGTTAATGAAATGATTTAAAAGCTACATAGAGAAAACAATTTAAGATAACGAAGATAATAAAAATCAACCACATATTATTTCCCTTTGCACATAATAGACTTATTTGACAGACAACACATACTCATTACAATTCACAACTAAACTTATGAACTTTCAAACAAAAGTGTCCTTGAATAAATCTTACTCCACTTTCACTATCAACTGTCATGTCAATAAATATTTACATCAATAAATAAATGATTTAGATTCGATATAACTTTTTTCAAATATCATATACTATAAGCTTGGGATGGAAAAAGTGTCTAATGACAGCTTCTCTTCCTCAATAAATTGACCTTTTTTAAGAGAACTTATAAACTTTTAGTCAGATATAACTATTGAAAATATCAAATATAGCTTAGTTTAAAATTGGACTCTTTTTAAAACACAAGTAAGCTTAAGAACATGACTTCTATTATGAGGCAAATAAGGTTTGAGCTTTGATGCCCAAAGCAAAACTCAATGGCTTATACAACAAAACATTCCTTCATATGAATGCTGAGTGGAGCAACCTATATTGACCAAAACTGCTGCAGCCACTGTCCCAATAATGGTGAAACCTTACAAGAATTTTCCCAAAATACAACAATTCTATTATACAAAAAACTAGACCCTAAGTCCCAGACATGGCTGTGGCAGAGGTCATCTGAACATTGGGGCTGCTTCGAAGGAGTGGTCAGATGTTCCGAAATTCCTGTGCCTACCATCAGAAACATTAGTCAGCTGAAACCCATGTTTTGGGAGCTGGTTTATGAGAAGAGTTTCCAGTTCACAAGCCACACTCTTTCCGGGGACACAGAAATAGAGGAAGCATGCCTTCTCCATTCCCTCGTCCGCGCGATGAGAGCGGATTCTGCCCCCTAGATCGTCACTCTGAGTTCAGTAAATGCGAGATCAGCAGGTCACACATTTAATATTAAAGTATCGTTGTAATATTGAAAAGCACACAGAAGGATATCCATGTCTTTTCTCACAGAAAAGCCAACATGTAAGAAAAAAACAAGTATGGGTAAGCTATCTCAAAAGCAATGCATAATAAAATTGCAGCTCTTAGGCTACATTGGTAACTTGTAACCGCAAAAAGAAACCCAGAAAAAAGTGTGTAAAACAACTACTGAGTACTGAAAAAAGAAAGGATGAGTGAATAACACGTAAATATATACAAACCTCTAAAATGGGGATTCATTTGGTCCCAAACTATAAAGCATTTTTTGGGCATAAAAACAGGTTAAGCAATCAACCTTTGTGGTTCCAATAGGGCAATCAAACATAAAAGAACATACCTGCCCAACATAAAGTTTATTGTCTGGTCTAAGCATCACATACACTGTTGAAGTACCGATGGTTGATGGAGGAGGCTGCTCCCGCACAGAAATCATAAAATACTTAATAGAAGACTCGGACGTGTTTTCTATCTTGTGGAATTTCATTAACTTCTCCTGACAAATAGTGGTAATGGACTTTTCCAAATCCTCCTTGCACCAGGTTTTGGTTACGTTCGTGGATTTTGGCGTAGAAGTCGTATATTTCTGTCTAGAACCATTGAATCTATCAGGCCTTTCATCATTCATGTTCATATCAGGTTTATGATTTGATTTTTTTTGTTCTGGGTCTCTATCCATAGAGGGAGAACTCTGCCCGTTGTAATATGACTGGTATAACTGTTCAGCCCTATGGATTATCTTTTCAGGGATTCCTTCTCGCAGAGCAGTTTCGAATGCAAGGCTTTCTCTGCAGATCCCATCTACAAGCTTCCATGTTGGTACAGTTCGACCATCAATATAATCAGATCCCATTGCTTTGTACACAGTATTTTCGGACTTCAAAGGTAAACCAAAGATTCCATGCAAGTGGGTTGATACAATGCCCAAACACCCAATTTCATCGAGAGTTTCTATAATACTGCCGGCAATGCATGTTCCTTTTGCTGTTTCTGTTCCTCGGCATATTTCATCAATAAGTACTAGGCTTCTTGAGGTGCAACCATTAATAAGGGAACGGATTTCGGACATTTCAATCTGATTCATCAATGCAAAATAACACTTAGGACTGAGATATTGAAGTATATGATTGTTTAACAAAACAAAGCTACTCCATAAGAAAAGATGGAGAAATAAGTAATGGTCCGTAGTATTCTGTTATGTGTTCAACTGTTCATGAGGTATGATGCCCTTAACTATTGAGAGGTTAAGTTTTCACTTTTCCTTGTGGATAAACAATTGATCATATGATTAAAGTAATGTTAGTAAGGACAAAGATGTAAAAGCTTCCGAATTTAAGCAAAAAGTTTAAACGAGTAGTTACTTGCATTGGGCAGATTGCGTGTAGGTGGTATAGTGTTTCTTCGAGCAATTTTTTCCCATTGCCAAACACCAAATACATAAAAACTACCTAAAAGGCACCATATTTCCCATTGCAAAGACCACCAATGTTACCATGTCTTGGAAACTGAAACTCTCTCTGAAGATCTTGTGACCAATTTTCATAAATCAACATTTTGGGACAAGTTTTTATAAAATTAGGTCTTTCACAATTATATTTTTTAGACAATGCATTTCTTAGGGACCGAATTGCAGACAAAAAAACAAATTCCACCCCTTATATTGCTAAATCCACCCCATTTATAAGAAATAGACAAGTTTATCTTTCACTTCGTTTTCTCTTTTTTAAACATTAAGGGTAAACTTGTCGATTTCATATAAAAAGGGGTGGATATAGCCAAATGAGGAGTGGATTTAGCAACAACCAAAAGTACTTTTGAGCATTGTATTTCTTATTTTAGATGAGATCTTTGTTATCTATGTACTCCGTAATGGAGTCCGTATCACTTTAATTGGAGTAGAAAGCAAGTTAGTAACTAATACCCCGAAGTATTATGCATTCCTCAGAAAAAATTACATTTATACCCCCATGTCTCTTCTATTTTCAGATTTGCACATTTCAAGTGTTTTGTGAACTATATTCTTATAATTCTGTTTTGCCACATCTTGCTTTCCATTTCCTGTTTCCCCACTTACGAAGATCAAGTGTTAAACATGATTGTTATACAAGAAATCACGTGGAGAAGATACTGCACCTGGAATGAACTTTTTCCATCAGCAGGGCTATCATAAGATTTCATGTGTAACATAATTGAATCAAAATGAGGAATGATAGCTGATTCAGCCGGAACCATGAATCCACAGTTCCCTAGCAATGCAGCAGCACAAATTGATCGTAGCAAACTTGATTTTCCACCTCCATTGGGCCCGGTTAACAGAAATAGTGATTGCATATCAACGGTATTTTGTACAGCACTACCTTGCACTACATCAAACCAATAAGGGGATAAACCAGATAACTTCATCATATTTAACCCACCATGTGGCTTGCAGTCCTACATTCACAATGACAAAATCTTTATTCAGGCTAAAACACATGATGAGTCATGAATGTTTCACCACTCTATAGTAGTTTTATTATATGCTGAAAAATTACTTACACCATACAAGTGTTAAGCAACACTCCAAGAATACATAAAATGATGTCCATTACCATTTTTCCTAACATTTTTGGAGTTTCAAATCTACATCACCGCACAACTCAAATTCAAGATAAGGTGCAAAAGCAAGTACCTTGGACCCTCGAAGGGTTGGGAAAATCCATTTCCTTCTCCTCCCTTCACTGAATGAAAAACAAAGATAACAAAATTGGACGCATGAATCAATCAACTGAACATGCCCAGCATATCCCACTTGAAAGTAGGCTTTGGGGTGTGAAGAGTATGAAAAAATGAGAGAAGATAAATGCAACAAAATTACAACTTAAAAAAAGTAAAGATGAAGGCAAAAGTAAATAATCAGGTAACTGTGAAAGTAAAAGAGCAAGAAGGCAAATAGCAAGCTAACTCAACCTAACGTGTCATTGACCACAAGACGACCGTTCTTAAACCCTATAGGGAATCTACTAACCTAATCTGATGTGTCCTGTAATCTACATCTGAGGATCATGTCTGGAGAGAGATTTAAGGTCTACATGTCTAGTTTCAACTGCTTCTCACGGGCAGTGGTATGTATGGTCTCCTCGTCTCCTCAACCGAAATGCTTGTTGCCCTTCTCACTGGTGATGGTGCATCTCTCTAATAGATGTTACCAAATCACAGCAATCTTTCCCGTTTGTCAGTGATCGACTCCCAGCTCTGTCTTGAGTCTGGACGACCACATTGCTACTCTTTCCAAATCCCAACTAGGTGCGACCACATGTACACCCCAAGTAAGAGCATGCATATCATAAGCTCTAATTCAGCACATATGTATTCAATCCTAGGTCTTAAAAAAGATTTAGGTAGCATGCCTCCCAATAAATAATTCCTTCCAGCAAAAGTGGCATACAAAATTCTCGTAACTTAACAAAGGAAGTGGGTATATTAGTATATATCATTCTGGGCCTATGCTAAATGTGTAACCAATGAATAATGGTAGGGGGGGGAGCAAAATGCTGCTCGGGTAAGGAAGTTTACCAACCTCACATGACCAAACAAGGCCTTTGCAATAATAACCAGCATAGACGCAAAGACAACGATATTGATCTTAGTTTGTAACACAGAAGAGAGCCCTCTGAGCAATTCCAGTACCTCAAGCTTGGCCTTAGCATTAGCCTCATGATACCTGGAACATTATCTGACGTTTAAAACTTATAGGAAGAAAAGCATTTACAGTGGGAAAATAGTGCAGATCTTTATTGCATCTGAAAAACCTGCCTTGTTAATGCTTTCTCCACATTCATTGTGGTAAACCATTCCTCTCCAACCTTCTTTCCCTTTGAGTCCACAGCAGGTTTAAGCTGTTTAACGTGATTTTCTCCAGGGGTCCCAGACAAAACAGAAGGCATAAAACGCTTCCCCTTGAACCATACTGCCTGATGCTCTCGAGCATACAAAATCTCCCCCTTAGGCCCTCCAAATGGAGTACTAGTGGCCTTTACTATCGAAATAATAGGAAGGAAATCTTTCTTAACCTAATAACTCATTGAAAATTCAACTTCATCAAGTTAGATGCCTCTCCTGCTTAATCATTTGTTACCTAGCACTTGACATATGCTCATTATGAATACTTGGATCTTGAGCCATCTTACTAAACAGGGTTTTGTATAATCCACACAAAAGTAATGGAAAGTGTGTACAAAATTTCAAGTGCAACTTAAATATCAAAATATGAAAATGCTGTACAAAGACATGGCAACGGGAAATGTAAAGAGGGCAATTTTAAATATAAATTGTTGTTGTGTGTGTCATACTTTTAAATTGTAATAATTACAAAGAGTCATATTGTGTCTATTTTTTTATGATTAATAGTTACAGTTTAAAAAGTAAAAAGCAATACATACACAACAACAACTCAACAAGGTCCCACAAGTGGGGTGTTTAGGTAATACATAAAAGTCATAGTGTGTAATACTTTTAGATAGTAACAATAAAAGAGAAATTAGATAGTGTGCAATAAGACGATTCATATAGAAAAGTTGGTATAGCTTATTAGCACTTATCAAAGAAAAATTAAAGAATACTGGTTAGTTTGGCCCAGGCACAAAAACAAAAGTTGTTCAGTTACAATCACATCAATACAAGAAGCGAAGTCAATAATTTCTTAGAGAGAGAGAGAGAGAGACTTCGTTCACATAAGAGGAGATGAAAATTTAACCAATCCGAAAGAGTGTGAAGAACTTACAGCCAATTCTAAGGCATTTGCTGCATTCTCAACTTCTGCATATGCTTCTTCCAAATGAACCCTCTTGACACGACCTTTCCATGAAGACTCCACGTCTTCAAAAAAATCTTTAGGAATAATAGAGGAGAAACTTGTAATCTGATCATTTTCTCCCTCAAGAAAAATCAGTTCACCAATTGTACTAGAGACATTCTCACATTCATTTACCTGTAAGAAACAAATGAAAGATTCTAGAGAGATGTGAACTATAATAGCTTGCTTAAGAATAACATACACACACACACACAAAAACATATCTAAGGCAGCATAGGGAATATTCATCACCGGAACACAGAGCATAGACAAACCAACAGAAATGAAGAAATTAACATGAAGAGAAGTTACTTGAGCATAAGATATCTGAAATATCAAGTAAACATTGACTTCAACAAGACAGATTTTGATTGTACTTGTGAAAAAGAAGGGGGGAAACATTGAGTCCTAACTATATATGGAGTATTAAACCAATTGATATGAAAGAAAAAGTACATTGTTTGTAGATTTGAAAATATAAAGACTAGTATAATTTAAGCATCACACTGCAAGTTACAAGAGCTAAACATCATCTAAGCAG